TTCCAAAATGTCTGGCATCTTAGACGATTACGAAAAAAGCCAGTTTGAGTGGACATTGAAGCTTAGTACAGAATGTCCCTTGCATTACCTCAGACAGCAAATTGCTATAAGTCGCTCTGCCTAAAAATTACCAGGAGATCTGTACAAAGTTGTTTTTCTTTTCCTTTTTTGTCCATAAAGAAGGTCCACAGAACTTAAATCGTTCAATATTTTATAATGGAACTTGTCCTGACCGCCGTTTGTTTTCATCCGACTGCAATCCGCTGACCAATGAATGCTGGAGCGAAATGTCGTCGATTTCTGGCGATGTTTTGCAATATACTAAATCCTTTACTAACCAAGGTTGTTCGGTCGAGACGGCTGGATGTTAGCCTCGCTTTTTTTTTTGCCCTTTTTTGGACCTCGACTTCATTTCGACTTCATCTCTCCCCTTCAACAACCAATTATATTCCTTGAAACTTTGTATAAGAATAGGAGTTCTTTTTCAGTTGTTCAAGTAGTTCTTTACACACCCGTTGTAATTGAGCGAATACATGAAAGGAAGAAAAAACTCAGTCGACTCTATCGTTCTAAGTTGGTTATAGCTACATCGCAAGTAAACGGGGCAAAGTTTACAACAGGCACAAGAAATCGTGGAAATTCTAAGGGAAAGTTGAGGAGGGGGCTCTTCTGACACAGTTGGTTTTTTTTCCCTTAACCCCAACAATTACTCGACAAAAATTGCTTAGGAAAAAAAATGAAATCGTTTTCATGCGAATAAAGCAATAACCACGCTGTAAAAAGTCGGTGGGTCGAATTGTGTTTATTCTTCTTGTAAACTGAACATCTTTCTCGGTCGCTCTTCAAATGGAGGTAGGGAGTGATCTGCTCAAGGAAGCTCTTTCTAGATGCCTCAGCTGGAGGCTCTACTGGGGGAAAAGATTTCGTCTGCAATCCTGTTTCCAGATCCATAACCTTAGGTGGGAAATTCAGCGAACCTCTCCGTACCTCAACTCGCAGATGGCTGAGGTGGTGCTAAGTACTGAGTAAGGAAGAAGCTCCTCCGAGAATGAGGTTTGCCAGACTGCTTTTTCCAGACCCAGTTTCAACTTTAAAAAATGCAACGATAGAAAAGTTTTACTGAGAGCGTATCACCCGGGAAAGTGTTGTCCAAAATTTTCATGGTCAAACGAGCCCCATTGTTCTCATATGTGGAATTATCAATTGCGTATAATTAAACGTGTGCTGTTTCGATATCACAACCGGAATGTAAGAATGCTCTCATATGGTTTTTGATGGTTGCTCTCTTGCGGTCGCAAGGACCTTTACCTACTTGAGAGTAAGAAGAGTCGATGCGAGCAAGTTTGACGTCATATGAAAAGTCACGTGAGGCGCTAGCAATGGCGGCCGCTCGTCATCGAGGTTTTGCTTTTTGATATTTTGCGACTATTTGTTGTCATTTACCACACCCATATTACTTTCAACGGTCGTCTAAAGTGCTTTTCTTCAGATGTGGCTGCAGTTCTTAGCTATTTGAGCCAGAATTTAAAACAAATCGGATCATTATCAACAGCTGGGAACAGACCCTTATATAAAACTACCATGACATTTTATTCAAAACCCCTTATGTAAATTGTCATCGTTACATAGCGACAATATAGAGGTACAAATATAAAACCAGTGGATGTCAGGTAAGGTTCTAACCTTCACGATCGACGATCGATATCAATATCTGCGCGCAGACCCCTTGATGTAACATTTTACCATCGCAACAAACAACAGGGCACAGGTTTAACATGCATGTGACATTTTTAACTTCAATATCAACATCTGGGCACAGTATACGCACTGTATGTAAAGAGTTCCGATCAACACAGACCCCTTACCGTAAGATACTAAGATAAGTAGCAACATTTGGCATAAGAAACAACGAACAATATCAACATCTGGGCACAGCCCCTTCGTGTAACACACTTTGATATAAACCCCTAAACACAAGTAACAACGATAAATATCAACATCTGGGCACATCCTTTCATATAAAACACACTGATATAAACCCCTAAATGTAAGACCACTGATTGTAAGAAACCCTGACTGAAAGAACCCTTGAAGGTAAAACCCCTGAATGTAAGAACCCCTGAATGTAAGACCACTGAATGTAAGAATCCCTGAAGATAAGACCCCTAAATGTAAGACCCCTGAATGTAACACGTACCCCTTACGGTAAGAACCCCTGAATGTAACACCCCTGAATGTAATACGTACCCCTTACTGTAAGAACCCCTGAATATAAGACCTCTGAATCTAATACGTACCCCTTACTGTAAGAACCCCTAAATGTAAGACCCCTGAATGTAATACCCCCGAGTGTAAGACCCCTGAGTGTAAGACCCCTGACTGTAAGAACCCCTAAATGTAAGACCCCTGAATGTAAGAGCCAGTGAATGGAAAACCCCCTGAATGTAAGACCCCAGATTGTAAGAACCCCTGAATGTAAGACTCCTGAATGTAAGACCCCTGAATGTAAGACCCCTGATTGTAAGAACCCCTAAATGTAAGAACCCCTGAATGTAAGACCCCCGAATGTAAGAACCAGTGAATGTAAGACCCCTGAATACAAGACCCCTCACTGTAAGACCCCTGAATGTAAGACCCCAGATTGCAAGAACCTCTGAATGTAAGACCCCTGATTGTAAGACCCCTGACTGTAAGAACCCCTAAATGTAAGACCCCTGATTGTAAGGTCCCTTGAATGGAAGACCCCTGTGTGTAAGAACCGGTGAACGTAAGACCCCTGATTGTAAGACCCAGTGAATGAAAGACTCCTGAATGTAAGACCCCTGATTATAGGAACCCTTGATTGTAATACGTACCCCTTACTGTAAGAACCCCTGAATGTAATACCCCTGATCATAGGAACCCTTGAATGTAATACGTAACCCTTACTGTAAGAACCTCTGAATGTAAGACTCTTGATTATAGGAACCCTTGAATGTAATACGTACCCTTTACTGTAAGAACCCCTGAATGTAAGACCCCTGATTATAAGAACCCTTGAATGTAATACGTACCCCTTACTGTAAGAACCCCTGAATATAAGACCCCTGATTCTAGGAAGCCTTGACTGTAATACGTACCCATTACTGTAAGAACCCCTGAATGTAAGACCCCTGATTATAGGAACCCTTGAATGTAATACGTACCCCTTACTGTAAGAACCTCTGAATGTAAGACCTTTGATTGTAGGAACCCTTGAATGTAATACGTAACCCTTACTGTAAGAACCCCTGAATGTAAGACCCCTGATTATAGGAACCCTTGAATGTAATACGTACCCCTTAGTGTAAGAACACCTGAATGTAAGACCCCCGATTATAGGAACCCTTGAATGTAATACGTACCCCTTACTGTAAGAACCCCTGAATGTAATACCCCTGATTATAGGAACCGTTGAATGTAATACGTAACCCTTACTGTAAGAACCCCTGAATGTAAGACCCTGATTATAGGAACCCTTGAATGTGATACGTACCCCTTACTGTAAGAACCCCTGAATGTAAGACCCCTGATTATAGGAACCCTTGAATGTAATACGTACTCTTTGCTGTAATAACACCTGAATGTAATACCCCTGATTATAGGAACCCTTGAATGTAATACGTACCCTTTACTGTAAGAACCCCTGAATGCAAGACCCCTGATTATAGGAATCCTTGAATGTAACAGGTACCCCTTACTGTAAGAACCCCTGAATGTAATACCCCTGTTTATAGGAACCCTTGAATGTAGTACGTACCCCTTACTGTAAGAACCCCTGAATGTAAGACCCCTGACTGTAAGAACCCCTTAATGTAAGACCCCTAATTTTAAGAACCCTTGAATGTAATACGTACCCCTTACTGTAAGAACCCCTGAATGTAAGACCCCTGAATGTAAGACCCCTTACTATAAGAACCCCTGAATGTAAGACCCCTGATTGTAGGAACCCTTGAATGTAATACGTACCCCTTACTGTAAGAACCTCTGAATGTAAGACCCCTGACTGTAAGAACACTGATTGTAAGACCCCTGAATGTGGTAACCACTGAATGTAAGGCATTAAACAACCTTGATTGTAAGAACCCTTGATTATAAGGTACAAATTTATAACCTTTAAATGTAAGGCACAGATTTACAACCCCTGAATGGAAGGCACAAATTTAAAACCCTTGACTTTATGGCATTGATTTACCCTGGTTGTAGAGTATGAATGAAAACCCCGAACATAACCCACAAATTCACAACTCTTTAAAGGTATGGATTAACACCCCAAGATTTAATGCAAGAATTAAAAACCCCTTGAAGCTGTGAATCAAACATAAAACCTGAATGTATGATACACACTTAGGACCAACGGGTTTGAGTGGTTTCAAACTTTTCATGCATTTCTTGAGAGTTTAGGTTTAGGGTTAACAATAGTGTAAAATGTATATGAAAATGGTGCATCTTCAAATCTATTGTTTTGTAATATTGAAAAGCACAGAAACCCTATTGGCATCATAATTATTGTCACTGGCAAACTTGCCAATTCTCACAGTCTATCAGGCAAAAGGAAAAGAGATTGGAATAAACCTAGTAAGTAATTATGATAACTTAAAAAGGTCATTCTAATAAGTTTCCAAAGTTTCTTCAAAATTTATTAACAAATTAATATACAATGAGAGATATTGAATACACTTATATTTGCCTAGTGCTAAACCTGGACCTTATTCACTTTCACTATATTTGTATTGACAGCATAAAAAATACATGAAAATAGACAAACTATTGATAATAGATCTCATATCTTTTTTTGAAGAAAAAACAACATCAAGGAAGGAAAATGTTTAACTTGAATAAAACCCATCTACAACTTGTATAGCAACTTAAATTGTTGTATTGCTCAAAAATATGAATTACAATATGGGTATTGAAATTAGTCCATAACAACTCATTAGGAACAAACCATTAAAAATTAAATAGAAATGAAAATGTATTACGTTCAACAATTGAGATGTTACTAAAAAGTACAAATTATTAATTCTTGAAAGTCTGCAGAAAAAAGATGTCTTAATCAAAAAATATTCCTAAATAAATGTGCAATTTTTCTTTCAGTTTCAGTTTTAGTTTCATTTTATTGTTATGCACTATTTACAGAATTTATAACATCATCAGTGTATACAAAAGCAAAAAAATTCTCATCAATTAAAGAGAAAAAAAATATATTACAAAACACAGCCAAGATAAAATGTGCTCAGTGACCAAAGTAGTATAAGCTTTCATGTTGGTCACTGACACGCACAAATAATTGACATGACAGATCAGTCAATTACAAATAGAGATCAAAGAAAAACAAGAAAATAGAATAAAAAGTTCCATAGATGAATTATATACAGATTATACAGAAGCTTGACTGTTTAAAAGGTGTAATTTCTATTGGTTGAGGAAGGAAGTGTATGGCAGTCTTTTAATATTTGTTGGAAAAGTTTCCCAAAGTTTAGATGAAACAAAAGCAAAAGTAGAGATCCCATAGTTATTATTTGCTTTTGGCCTACGAAAATTTAATCTCGAGGCAAATCTGGTGTTGTGGTTATGTTTTAAAATAAGAACTAGACTCTATATCAAACCACTGACTATACTTACAATTCTACTGTCTTCATCACAGTCACTCTCATTATTACGGGGATATTTACAAGATTCCTACAAAATATATAAAAAAATCATGTTTTACTCATTCGTGTTTTGATCACCTTTCTTCAAAGTTGTTTTCCAAATGAGAGGTTTACGATTCATGGACAAAAAACTTGCAGTGGATAATTTTTGAAAACATTATAAATAAATAAATATTAAATAAATAAACCTCTTCACTAAACCTTTCGAGCCTTCTCTTGTGGACCTAAAGAAGAATGATTAATTGCAGTGTTACATTAAAGAACATTCAAATTATTTCCCAAGACTTATTAAGGGAATAATTTGTCCAGTGTTCAAAGAGTTGCAAAGAAACCATCGTAATTATCATTTCAACCCAAAAAATGTCACCTTGCTTTGCTGATACTACCATGCAGTGCTGCACTTGCAGTTCAAATTCACAGTACAATGAGGAAATTGGCATTTGATCAACACTTAGAAACTCATGGAAGGACAAATTCATTGTACAGGTGAATTTGCTGGATGTTGTACTCATATTAGAATTGTTAAGGAACATCAATTGTTGAGCACATCAATTGCAGGCAAAAATATATCAAGGATTCTAAAAGCTATAACTGGGAATATCAAGTAAATCAATCAAAGCCAAATTTCACAGTTTGGCCAGTTAAGCCATAATTTTGGCAGTTTCAAGGAAGTACAGACATTACCTCTGCAGAGTCCACCACAGTTTCGTCCAAACTTTCCTCTTCACCAAGATCAACCTGGCTTATAAGTAAAATGCATTGAATTATTTTAATTTAGTAGATAATTAACATGGGGCATAAAAGAAATAATTTCCCAATTTCCTGTTTTACTGTAATAGCAGTGCAAAAACAGATGCCTTCACTGACACTAACATACATATATATACTGGTATGCGCATTTCTGTTGATGTGGATTTTTGGAAGGACTACTTTCCAGATATTATCTGGTTTTTTTATTGTTCATTAATAAATTCAATTGCCAGAACATTTACATTTTCTACCTCATTTTCTAAGACTTGAGGTCTTTGGGCCTGTGAACGAATTGAGAATACATGGAAATAGACATGCCAAGATTTAGAAATTCATTTGGAAGTAATATATCTGTTAATGTACCATGTTATTACTCTGCTCATGTAGGAGTAAAAAATCTTTAAAAATATTCAACAAAGTAACTTAAACTGACTCTTTCCTCTGTTTGTGATTTGCTTTTGGCCTCGTCTAAAGCCTCCTAAAATAGTGGAATTCATAAAATGTAATTCAAAGCACCACTTTATAAAATACATTTCAAATAAAGCCAATGATTATATTTCCAGTTTCTTCATTCTTGTTTGTCTATTAATTTTTCTTTTCTACTAAAAGAAGAAATTACATCATGATTTCTTTCTATTAGCTGTTTACAGCAATAAAGTTACATTTGTTTCCTAGTTCATAGTGCTATCTTTTTCTCTTTCTTCTACCAAAAAGATATACACCATGATTTCTTTCTATAAGCAGTTTACATCAATGGAGTTGAAATTTGTTTTTGTAATGCACATTGGCATTTTTACGTATGATGCATAAATATCTAATGTATCGTACGTATCTAATCATACGGATCTAATACCGCAGTTGAAAATATATGAACTTCATATATTCATTGTATCCGATTTATCATCACGGGTTTATTACGAATCAACTTAAAGGCCTGCTCCCAGTTGGCTTGTTAGCTCAATTGGTAGAGTGCTGCACTAGTATCGCAGAGGTCAGTGGTTCGAATCCCGTACAGGCCTGATTTTTTTCAGGTCTGATTTTCGCTATTGC